AAAGAAGTAAGAGTTGTCTATGAGTGTGCGTACTTCAAGTTTGATATCTCTGCAAAAAGCAGCACTGCTCGTCTTAAAGCTGCTTCAATTTCAAGAATGATGCCAGTGGTTTTCTGACTATAGCAAAACAGCCTAATAAAAATCCAGCACACAGAGTAGTTACAAGACGTGCTACTGAATGGGCCATAAGTGCACACTAAAGTATCTCTTGGATAAAGCTTTGCGATTTCCGTTCGGATTTTGTGCATCAAGACGAAGTGGACTATTTGTGCGAAATTAAGAAGTACTGACCGAGAGATGTCATCGGCCAGAGTTTCACAGAAACCCGGGTGATATAACTGGCAACCTACTGATAACCACCAGCTTGGCATTGCTGATCATCAAATTTTCCGACGTGTGAAAGATGTCCCGTCAGTAGAAATGCAGCAGAAAGCTGGTAGCTTGTGAAAAGGGTAGCTAGCTACCTTTTGCGAAGCTCCCATTAAAGGCCACAATCGGATCGTAGATAATGTCGCCCGATAGACTAACCGGGTTTTCGCACTTGGAATAGAGCCATTAAAATCCATTATTTGATTGTGTAGTCCATAACACGTGTTTTTGCGTCGACGAGGGGTTTAAGCGGCATCCTTACAAAAATAGGCTCATGTGATCTCCTAAACGTTCCTATTTTGAACACTGGTTATATTTGGTAAATCACTATCAGCTGACCAAATCAAATGAAAAATAGGGTATGAATCCCTCTTTATCCTTTTACAGAATGAAGATTCACGTTTGGCCTTTACTAACAATAGAATTGACGTTCCACTGCTGTGTGCTTCGGATAAAATTTTCTACATCCGTGTACCAGGCGCACCTGTGTAGCAGCTAGTGATTATTTTCAAATTAAAGTTATTGGCATGGGTGCTTTATGTTAAGCTATTTATATGATATCGCCGTATAAGACAGTCAGTACTAGAACGGTGTCCCAGAAGATCTCTGTTATTCTGGAGACTGAATTGACAGAAACAAAGCAATCATCACAATCATCATCAGCTTTAACAACCGCGCTGTTGTCGTGCAATGGTTCTAGCTGCCACGATTGTGTTCAACGATGATACTGGGAGGTCTATTAGATAGCTGCGCGTTGGAGACGGTAGCTGACATAAGAGACACGAAAATGCAGAGTTGTCACTAAACTTTTCATAAGAGCGATGATAAGAGGAGTTATGCATTTAAGACGATCGCTTGGATTAACAAGCGCAATTGAGGGCGCGACTGAGTCATGTCTGGTGATGCCTGTAACCATCGATTTGTCCCATCTCACGGTCTCCATCCAGCTATATGATAATGAATAGTGCATGAGTTTTCTGGTGATGGCTTTCATACTTAAATGCTAAGGCGTTGTTTGACCTCTCGTTTCTTCCCTTCACGTGGTTGCACGATAAGGGCCCTTCGAGGTGATGGGTTGACTGGGATACAAGCTGACGGAATAAACGGTAGTCGTACTTGAGAACCAGTCGCTCGTCAGAACGAACCAGTGTATGCCAGAAAGAAAAAAACTAAGAAGACCTTGTATCCTTGGAAATGCTTCTCACCGTCCCTTAACTATAACTGTAACCAAACCAGCAACACTTGTGGAGACCGACCAGTTCATCTATCATGGGCGAGTTGTTTCTTCAGAAAACCATTCAACATACTTCAGTATTGCTGATCCGGTGTTTCCACCAGATTAGGAAAATGCTTGCAATAGTCAGACATTTGAGGTCTCTTAAGTCCTCAGCGCACATTGGCCAGATTCTGACCCATACAATCATATTAAGTGCAGCATCGTAAACTTGATCCTTGGTGGGTGAGCTGTCGCCGTGCTTTCGCCATAAATGTTGCAGGCTCACAAAAGCTGCTGTAGGCTTGCCAATCCGAATGAAAATATAATCTTTCGCAAAGTAATTGGCGCACTGGCAGCAATACATCACTTCCAACTGCGTTTAGTCGAAGAAATTATCACTTTCAAACGGCCCAGTAGCTAACTGTCGCGTAGCTACCGTGGTTTTGACCAGTTTCGTTCAGCCTTAACTTCAAAGGATTGGTGAAGGCAATCCTAATTAGAGGTACCATCACTGTTATTTACAATTCACACCAAGATTTCACAATACAGTGCCTTCGATAACAAAAAATAGACGTGTTTATATGAACATGCAGTGATAAACCACATCTTAAGATGTTTACCGCTCTAGGTTATGTCCGCTTGTTGCAATCAGTACACGACATTTGAAACATGAAAAAAGGATACACTAGCACACTAATACTAGCAATAAGATCTCAAAATGCAGACGGTAAACGTGGACTGTTGACTAATCAACAAGGAATTTCGCTTACGGGTATCCTCGTTTACGAAGGCAAATTCATCGCGAACAAATGGATGGCAGACATCGCAAGTTATTATTGGAGATCATTTGAACTCACTAGTAGTCCCTTCTCCATAGAGTGATACGAAACTGTAAGGAAACCGTGCTCTACTCTGATCTAAGATATTAACCAACATGTCTAAGCGAAACGACTGCCACCATATTTTATCCTACATCATAGAGAAAATCTATTCATCCAAACGAAACGATTTCCAGATAAATGCTCTTTGTTTGAAAGAGTTACTGTGACATCCTTGCTGACGAGGTGTACAAACACGGTCATCTTCTTCCTTTCCTCTTCATCGTTGACTCTGTCTTCACCACCAAACTTACCAATGACAAAAAGTTCTGATCTGGGCGCTTTTCTGCCCACCAGACATCTCATCTCCATGGTAAGCATCCCAAAGACCCAACACGCAGTGGAAAGAGAATATGACTTAGTTCCAGCTTACTAAAAGCAATCTCTCTGCGGTTTTGATTTATCCCTGTTATTTCGCACGCAAAGTACGAAAAGAACCAGAAAACCTTTGGGGGAGGATACATATTGGTTTAGACAGAGTAAAATAAGTTACCTTTTTCACATTCCAGAACGTTTCTATAATTTAATTGTCTCCACATTGCAAAAATTCTTACCTCCTGAGTAGTGGTACATATTTATGAGGCACTGGTAATTACATTCTACGCGCATGAGTGCTTAACACACCAAAATACACATAACCCAGATGAAGTTTTCTCTTTCACACCTTATTTAGTTAGTCTGTAAATTCCTTACCTATGGGTAACATTTTTTGATCAAAAACTTATGGAATGGCAAAATCCAACACACAGTCTGTCTTTGTATAATTAGTCAGGGGCGGCTGAATTGAAACTGAAAAAGTCTCTGTGAAAAGTAAAAAACTAAACTAAGCAGAAGGAAAAGAAACTAAAAAATAAAATCCAAAATTTTGTTTGAATATTTCTGGTGTATCATTATCGCTTTTCAAAAATGTAAGATCTTTCGGGGTCATAAAAGATTGGAAGCATTCTCTCTATCTGTAACCAAAATCCTAAACAATTTCTCCTCACTTGCTGAGCCAAACAAGAGCCATTTGAATATAAAATCCTAAAACCAATAAATGGTTTACCCAGTAAATAGAATTGGTTTGTTTCATCCCCGTTGATGCTCATCAGGTAGGTTTGGTCGCAGCCGCTACTGTTGATTGCAGTAAAAACATCGGTTGGAAGAGAACCCAAGGACCTGAGGAAACGATTGAATTGTCCACCAAGTCACCTTTAGGCATTAAAGTTTTCCATGTGTTTATTACACAGAATGTTTCAAGAATCCACTTAAAGTTTCAAACCAGATTGTTTGTAGTGGAGTTTTGCCTGAACATTGATTAGTTCTCCCGGCCAAGAGACTGTGTCCGTACGCGTCACTTCTTTAAACGGAGTGATACTCGCGCCTTAATTTTCAGGTCATCCTCACTCTGAAAATATCTATCGGACAGCTTAAAATCCACGTATGTTTGCGCTATCATTAGCACTTGGAACAGAAAGCGCTGTCCTTCTTGTTCTTGAACCTGTTCCGCAGCTTGCCAGAATTCAGATCACTTACCTTGAGTCTCTTGCGCTAAAAGATATATTCTTTTTGCTATATTAGTATAGCAACTTCAAAAGAGCTAGTCAATGTTATGGCAGAATGCTTCAGAGAGTTTCACAGAGTAGATCTCTACACTTGTGCTCTTCCTAATATTGTTCATCGGACACCACTGCGTTTCGGTTCTTAAGCTTCTGGCTCGGAAGAATGATAGACGACATAACACCAGGTAACCGGTCTCTGTGTGCACTGCTTAGGCACTAACGCATCCACGTATGCATGGTTAGTTCGATCAGTCAGACAATAATCCTCACAGTCCCAGTGAATCATTATGTCACGTGGCTGTCTCAGGGTCATGCGCCTGACTTTCAAGTCTAGTTTTGCTGGATAGTATCAGAAGTTGGGAGGACTGATGTTGCTTTGGATAGTTTTGAATTTATTTCACCTCCATTCTATTTCGCCGGGAGTGGCGTATTTACATACACAAAGTGGGGTGACAGAAACGAAGCAAAATGATAAAGATAAGATAAATGATTCAATTTCAGGAGCTTAGTCGAAGTATTTTGATTTGTTTGGCATCCACTTTTCCAACTTCTTTAAACAGACTAGGCTGCTACCGACATACCAACTTTCTGATCGTGAATCTCTAGGACGGACAACCTAAAGATTGTACAAGGATCACCGGGTAGCACCCGTATAGGTCACGTCCTGCTCAGACATTTCGGTGCACATTTCAGCCTTGTGAAAGATGACAGACTCTTCTTACAATAAATCGAAAATGCCAACAGGCTATTGGTGGAGTGGTTTACATACATTATACCACTTAAAACCAGAGTCTATGAGAATAAGGTTGGGAAAAATAGCCTAGTCAGTAAAAAAATTGGATGGTTTTAGAACGAAGGTCCACTGATCACAGGATATGCCAAGCTTAGGAATTTTTCTCCGGTTAAAGAAACTGTGCTCTGGGCTACTTTGATCCACGTGTATTCGTCCGATGGTTATAATGTATGAAACATTCTCACTTGTGTTTTCTGTTTTAGTTACCCGAATATTAGCTATGCATTTCTGATTCTGAAGTTTGATTCTGCTTCCGTCCGGGTTTGTCCGGCAACGTACAGCTGTAAAAAATTTGCGACTTGCCGGAAAAAGTATGGTTTCCGAAACCTATATTCCTAATGGTCTTAGTCGACGGGAACGCGGACCATTTGATCGGTTTTTCGTTTGATCTGTGGTGGAGAACAAACCTTACGGAAGCACTAAACTGCTGTTCCTGTTCCACATAACGATGATAGCAGCCAAATTGAACGAATGTCTGCAGTTGATTTTGTTGCCTATGGTAATGACGTTCTTTTGTATATACAAAGCGTAGATCAAAGCGAAGTACTCTTTTGCGGTTTGGAATTGATCAGTTCGTACTTTTCCGATCTTCCTTTCAACCAAGGTATGTAATTCCTGAAATTTGCGCGTCCTGCTAGATTTAGCTAAGCTAAAATCCGAAATATTCCGATCGGATGTTTACTTTGAACGATTTACTAAATTCAAAGCTGAAATTTGGCACGTTTCAGGTCTTGAAGAGAGACCTATGAGTGCTTACTTAAAACATTTTAAATAATCATCAGTGGCCAGAATATCGTGCGGATAAGTTAAATGTTAGTCAGATTAAGAGCCACATGGCTGCATAATCCTGCCCGTCTACATTCGTACACGGCTAATCAGGCTTTTGGAGATTCAGTCGTGGGATCTCATGTAAAAATTCAGATTTACAACTTCGTTTAAGAAAGCGATTAACGATTCTCTGTAATAGTTGCTTTGAACGCCATAATGTTTGTACTGTGGATCGCCGCTGATCAGTGGTGGAAGTCATGTCTGCCATAATATGCGTTGAGCATTTGAGGTGATTACGAGTTAGTAGGCGTCCAAAGGTACAATAACTGTTGAATCTAAACAGCATGACCTGCTAGTGATGGATACGGATTTTATAAAGTATAAAAACAGTGGTGAAAAGAAGCGTTCCAGCAGACTGGACATCAGTAGAGCACACCAAAAATTGAATGCCTACCGAGTCCATGCATTTGACGTGACAAGTAATGCGACACACAGTGCACTTCTTTTTTCCACCGGATCTCTGCAAAAGTAAGAGGAAATTTCAAAAACATTTTTAGTAGCTGGTTATTATTCACACCTCTTTTTCACGTTGTCAACCAAGTGGACATGCTTATTGTGAAAGTACTCAGTGATCACGGAAAATATCGGAATAAAACAAAGGTTAAGCAGATAATTATTAGCATCCTTAGGAGAGCACACCATACTGCATCACTGTTTAGGACTAAGGATACTACAGCAATGTTTCGCTATTATCAGTTACCCGACAAATCTCAAATAGAATGGTATCAGCTCCGCTTCGGTTGGCGTGCTACATGGGACTAGGCTAAGTTGAGCACACAACGTTCATTATGTTTTACACCCTTCGGGGTTCTATGAAAGAAGGGATTATGTGAATAACATGCGACAAACTGAGTGCCAAACTGTTGACCTTTGTAACATGGATTCCCTTCCAACTGATCGCTGATTAAGCGAAATGCTTTGCCAATCTCGAGTCCCCTGTATGAACCTACAAAGTGGGGACAGCATGACTTTGCTGGACAGCATCCTAACCCCGTTACTAACATATTGTATTTGTTTAGGTATAATTACACCAGGAGTGTCAGTGTAATTTTCGTTGTATTCGTTGTTTTCAGCTTGGACCAGCGAAATTACTCAGCAAAATATGGAACATACGCTGGCAAGCAAGATTGCCCAATCTGCAGACAAGATCCTACAACCAATAAATCCATTGAACCGTCTTGAAAATAAACTTTAGTGAATTTGTATGTAAGCGATGGAATGCACAATAATAACCGACATATTATCAGGTCATTTATTATATATTTGGAGTGAACAAATGTCACGATGTGACTTTTATTCCGCAACGACGTTTTGAATGCAACTGGGCAGTTGCCCTTGTGATTCTCCACACGACTGAAAGACAGAGCTGACTGGTAAGCGTTCAACATGTTATCTCATCTGAGAGGATTACCTTATTCGGTTAAAACACCGAAAATAGAGAGGTGAAAACTACGTAATTATGATAAAAGATAGGTGAACAATGTATGATCGAAGGTGGTTTTAGAGTGAAGGATAGTTAGCGTAACGTGTAAACAGCAATCAAGTGACGGATCTGCTTTCCTCAATCCACCAAGGCTGTTACTGGACTGGAACTCCTTAGGATCAAAGTCAGTGACTTGTGTTTGCTTGCCATTGTGGGCTGTCTGCGTGATTACGACACTTTTATGCGTAGTACAGGCATTGAGTGTACATTCTTGCCGTTGACTCTCCTACCAGATCCAGTATGTCAGACACTCTGCTTCTGATGTGAGTCTTGACTGTGCTATAGCGCCTTAAAGAGCATTGAGAATTGTTTCTCTTTTCTTCGGTTGTTGGTTTCTACACAAGCGTTTCCATACCAAACATTCTTACACACGTTGGGATTTATCTTGTCCGACCAAAACTGTTGGTGGCGTGACTTTGAATGGGACGCTTCTCTGATTATCTAATATACTCATGTAACACTTCCACACCCATCGCTTGCATTTTACTTTCTATGGTTGTGACCAGCCTCTTCGAAAATAAACGATACTGCGTGGGGCATCAAATAAAATATCCGAATTTACCAAGCTATTGCAACGCTGATAAAGAATCTACCCATTACCACAAGAAACATTATTAAAACGACTTATCGCCACTGCTTGTGCTTTCAAAAAAAGGATTAACTAACAGTCGCTGGTTTAATTAGCTATTCAGCGTGTATGGTGTGTCAAGCTAGAGCACGTTTTCGACATTACAAATGAGACGTCTGGAGCTGTTTCCGGATATTCTGTCGGATTCTGCTTCCAGTGTGAATTTTTTTTCTGCCAGGGATGCCGTATTTAGAGTTAACCTGGCAAATTCATTTGAAATTTGTGACTAAAGCCACTAGGTTTTTTTTGTTGGGACGGCGACCCGCATGGTTTCTTTTATTATTATCAAATAGGTAGCCTTTCCAGCTCGTTTAGTAGTTTTCAAAAGGCTCTCAATGACATTTAAATCATTTTTGTCGGTCAAGAATGGTGCAACCGCTGGGCGCCCATGCATGGTAAGAATCTACGGGTGGTAGGCACGGAGCTAAATGGGGTGCTGTGCTGAAGCCCATGGTGTCTGCCGAAACCCAAGGGAATGAGGTCGGCCGGCGAAAGTGCAGAGGCCAGTCTCAAACCCGCAGCTATTTTAAACGTGGTGGAATAAATAGCTGTTAGTAACGAGTGATTTATCACACTCCTTAAGTTACAAGTTAGGCGCATCTGTTTACGACACTCGGAACATTGGACCATAAGCCTGCATTGATAGACACGTATATTCTCGAAGGTTTATACTGTGGGAATTCTTCACCACAGTACCAAATTTGCATCTAGCGTTTTGTGCCAGGTCCAATTGTTCCGTGTTCACAGAAAATTTGGTGGTGCCTGTGAGTACTTGGATCTCACTTGCTCTTATTCGTCTTTGAATGTTAGTTTATTGGTCAGCTTATCTTTATAACCCTTTATCACACCCCAATGGCTTTAATGTTTAAGCTCCTTTGCGTGCTGGTGTCCAACATCGTTATCAAACTTCATCGCCACCAAATTGGGAGGTAGTGTTGCACAGAGCGTTGCACGAGGTTAAGAACTTGGTCCCCATATTCCAAATGACAGTAGCATCTTGTTCAGTGCACAACAGTTTAATAAAAGGTATTAAGTTTGTACTGTAAACTGTGAAATCAGTCACCAATAACGTCCGCACCTGAGGTTCGTCCTAAGCAATAAGAAGTTTATTCGTAGTCTGATGCTTGCTAGTATGACTAGGAACAGTAGTCTAGGACCTGAGATAAAATGTAAGTTCAGGTTGTCCTGAGCTATTCACTCGTTTTTGATTAACCATAACTTTCTTACTGGACAAAAGGAAGCCAACTGAAATTCCAGTGATGACCATGTTTGACGCTACAGAGCATCTTGTTAAGTAGGGCGGAGTTTTACAGCTGACGCACACACGGTATGAGTGTTTAATAACCTGTTTTTATAGCCGATGTTCCACAAACATAGACTGCATTTAGAATAGCAATTAAGTGAGAGAACAACCGGATGTGGTAACTTAAATTACAGGCAATTTACTCGTCCAAATTTGGAACATAAATCGGTTTGCTCGAGGAAGTGGTGACCTATGAAAACGAAGTTTAGCACTTCGCTACGTGAAATTGCTGTGCCTTACTTAGATGAAAAAGTATATCAGACCAGTGTTGCATGCTTTCACTGGTAAAATGTTAAATTTACACACCGCGCGAAGTAACTAGCAGTAAGCGAGAAACACCCAGGTACACATCAACTTGCTTTCAGCGAGAGATTAAGCTGAATGTGCTGCACGAAGGAAGTCTCTTCTTTCCATTCGCCGCAAATTTTCTTGGTGGAACACTACAAATGGGTTTTTTGAAAACTCTTTGATAGACCTTGTATTTCTTATCTGCTTGAGACTCATCACGTAGGCATACACCTCGAGCTTATGTTGTGCTTCTCAAGTTAACCTACAAACGAGTTCACTTCGTGGGTTGGGTGCAATGTCATATTCAAGTAGAGGTCTCTTTAGCTGTGTCCATTCCAACGATGGGTGTGTGCATTGTCTTACTCACATTTCACAAAACCATTTATCCTCTTGTGAAAAGCCCCCCACGATAACTTTTGCCGGCCAACGACGTCCTGAGAGTTAACAGAAGACCTTTGATCAACCCTTTGATTGTGATTGTCCCCCAGGGTCAGATGGACTGTCCCTCACCAACCAGAAGACTGACTCCCAATAGATACAGAGCACAGATTTACATTTTTCTATAGAGGAAAATGCTGTTAGCTCAGGTTGCGTAGACGATCGTTGGTTTGTTCGCTGAGCTGGGCAATTCGATTGCAAACGTTTCATCATCAATCGAGATGACATCATCAGTGCGTTGTTATGGAGCGTAGCGTTGAGTTCACTGTTGTGGTTATTGTTGCACTTAATAAATGCTCCCACGGTTCCTGATGTAGCGAGCTTTTTTCGTATAACTTACTACATAGTCGAAACCGGTATAAACGTTATGGTAGGAGATGAACCACAACGTTTCTTCACTCTTTTGAAGGATTCTGAATACCACACGTAACAGCATTTTGTGAGAACAATCACCACCTAATCGAGTTTGCTTGAAGTAACTTGCTTGTATCAAGTTTGGAGATAACACTTTGAAGTTTTTGAATTACGATTAAGTAACTAAAACTGGATATCTTCCCTGATTACCAAACAAACGAATCAAAGAATTAATCCAGGAACAGTTGGAAAACATAAGCCAGTTACCATGACAAACTTGCCAACAAGAGGCCATACAAAACTTACACAGCATTCTGGTTCAGGTACGTAACACAGGTCTCCAGACGCGTTGGTGTCGATCCATAAATGTTCACCTGGAGCCGACTGCACCTGTACAATGAAGGAAATTTGGTGCTAGGGGAGTGAAAGTGACACAAACCTCTGCCACACCAAAACATTAAGGTCTACTTTAATGGTGTGTGGGTTACCGGATGCTAAGATACAAAAAAGCGAGCTGTGGTTTCTGTCTTTTGGTCGTTTTGGTGTGGTAGTCAACTTCCAAATCATGGGTGGTACGCATGGAAACAGCTTGGGGATGGTTGAGATAGAATGCTCCAGGTTTTGGCATGATGAATCAAAGAAGTGTGATAATAATTCAACTACACAGTGATGATTTTTAAGTGAATTTTTAAAGAATCGCTTTTTAACCTGGAGAGAGATACAACACCGTGGACAGATGGCAGAAGTACAGGCTTGATAAACGATATTCATAAAGACAATGCCTTCATTTAATTCTTAGCTTTTAATTCGACCGTAAAGTATCGCTTTATTCGTTACTACTAGGAAAGTCGAAATGTTGGACAACACACTTGTACTGGCATTTCGTAACCAGTGGTAATATGCCTGCCTAGTATTTGCTTTCTGCTGGCATATGCACCCTCCTCAATGTGGGTATTGCTGCCGACAGTAACCAGTGGTAATATGCCTGCCTAGTATTTGCTTTCTGCTGGCATAAGCACCCTCCTCAATGTGGGTATTGTCTGCCGACAGTCGCAACGCACAAGGATGACTTCTTGGGAGCCGCGGTGCTCCCCTACTGTTTCCCTCTTGTCATTCCAGAAGGTCTGTTAGCGAATATCCAATTTAAAAATAGGCAATGGATGGTTGTACAATTAGAGATAGGGTGGTCGAGTAAGTCAACGGAGTCATTGAGATACCCGTGAAGAAATATAAAAACTAAATAGGTGTCGATGGGAAATAGTGGTTGCTTGCTTTCCAGGCTACTTAGACGTTTGTCGGTAATTATCGTTAGATCGGATCTTGGGATTGCAATTCAAGAAGACCAAAGATCAATTGACCAAAGATCAATTTTTCCACCTGAGTGATACAAAGAATCCACTTTCCTTATAGACCTCATTAACCTAAGCATCTTTGCAACAAGAAAACATGCAGATTAGACTAGACACTCACGAAAGGCGTGAAATTTATCGTTGATGACGGCACATCTCAAGTACTTTTGATCTGTACAGACATAATTGCAGGGTTTGTTAAGATGGAAACCATTGCGTGGAGTGGCACTGCAATGCCATAGGCATCTGCTCATTTCCACACTGTCGATACATACAGATTTCGGAAAGATTTCGTCACCGAAGCCCTGACTAAGAACCTTTTTGCGCAGGATAAATAATCTGTATATAGCGTAGCTATTTGCAGGACGAATTTTCAATTTAAATGTTATCAGGAAGGCCAGATTCCTGAAAGCAACTTCTGAACTCCGGAACCTATCCATCAAAAACTCATTTGGAAAGCCGGCAAGCGTCCAGGCCAACCAATCATTCAATCAATTCAGCAAGACCTGATGAGTGTTCTCTGCGCCACAGAAGCACGACCGAATGTGATCAGTGTCCAGGCTTTTCACAGAGGCACGAGTGATGTTGACGGGTGAACACTAACGCCTATCAGACGGCCTGGATCAATGTCAGAAAGTCTTCTTTAAATAGTGTGGGGCCGTTGTAACTTTCGCACCCTCACCCACTCGCTTGTTCGAAATACAGCTGTTGTGTTCCCTTCTGTGAGTATTCTCTCCGACACTAGGCACTGGAGCGGGTCAGCAGCAGATACCACAGATTGACGAATCAGCAGATATAACAAATATGGACAGTGCATCAGGTGATACTGACTTGCATTCATCTGAAAAAAATCCAGGCCGATTTTGAATGAAGGTCACAATTATAACTGACGTAGGGGGCGATAAAATTGCAATTTGTTGATGGTCTTTTCACCCAGCCTGTTAGTTGGATACTAATCGAGATGACATCATTGGGGCGGAGATGAACGCATTGATCGCTCCGACTCTGTCTGTGCTTATATAGATTCTATATGGTTTCTAAAGTTTTCCCGACGTGGCTTTCGCATATTTTTTTTGGTCAGTTTTGGAATCTCAATTGCACTGTGATATAATTTGCTTGTGTCTGATTGGCTCGTCGGGAGCTCTCAACTCGACATTTCTGTTCCTCCATTATGATTGGTCCGTTTTCTCCTTGCTTCTTAGTCTATTTTCTTCCTTCTTGAGTGACTGATTGAATAACCTTTTATTTCAAGGCTTTCTTTATCTGTTCCGACTGACCCGTCGAGTATCGTTGGGTTGTTTGATTTCCAATGTAGTTCAGAGTTCCGCAATGTATGCTCTGGTTTTCCACCGACCGAAAGCCTGGGTAGATTTGGATGTGATTATTGATAGATATTTTTATGTGGAGCACCACGTCCCGATGAACTCTCGTTACCATTTCGTTCTTGCGCAAACAACCATTTAAACATCATCCTAACGGTACTGATGTTGTTTTCTGTCTGCGTGGGCTGAAACAAAGGACAGTAGGTCAAGTTTTTTGTTGGCAAGTTTTGGTGGCAAGTTTTCTTTCAATCTGGCCAACATACTGTTTGTCACAGTTATTACATTGAAGTTTGCAGATCACGCTCGTCTTATTCATTTCATGCAGTCTTCATTTCGGTTTCAAAATGATCCTTCTGAGTGTTTTTACACGCCTGAAGGCGACTGTTACTTCATGTTGCCGTTAATATCTTACAGTTATTTCTGTGGCGTTTTCGATATACAAAAGCGTAATTCTTTTTTATTCTGTTTATGTTGGCAAAGTAGCGATTTGTGTATGCAACAACTGCAGGAGCTTTCTTCCAAATCATTTGTTGCTCAATAACGGTGTGTTATACTTGCCCACATTTACCAGGTGTAAGTTCTTGTACCGCTGTTCGTTTTTTGAATCCATATCGTGTGACGAACCCCTATGATCGTGCACTTTATCACCAGGATGAAAATTATGATAAACTAATGAAGTAGTAAAAATGACTACCGGGTAATTTCCAATTCATGACAGCACAATCTGGTTGATTTCCTTAGCCCTTATGAAAACATATTAATGTCTGGTGGAACAATCAACCAGCATCAAAATCAGAAGGATACTAAATGTGAAACATTTGAACTTAAGTGATTGCGTACCTCAGGATCCGCCTATCACAGGCTCCGAAAAACCGTAATTCTTAGCTATTTGAATACCATAACCTGGGACCAAGACGAAAACTTTTTTGTAACTCTTGTTTTCTATGGATTCTAGTTACATGTGAGGCTGATTTACTATATCCTTCTGGGCGAAGTGGGTATGATTCGGAGGGAAATCAATCTAATAACACGCGTAATTTTATTTAGTGCACAGGTTGCCGAACCTTGTCCAGTGATACACGAGCTGTTGTATGCGGTAGCATATTTTAGTGCATATGACCGATAAGCATTAGCCATATAGGCGAAAATAATTAATGTTAGACACTGTATGTGCTAATTTATAGCACATCGTGTAATTTCTGTGCTGGAAGAACGAAAAAACCTTTTGTCTCAGAATATCTAAAGCGGTGTTTGAAAATCTCCGCTGCGCGATGCCTCAGCGTCTAAATTTGATTAATCATGACTGGGACCCGAAAATTTAGTTATCCATATAAAATACGGATAAATTTGACTTGGTCACACATCTAGGTATATCGTTCCACGAATGGAAGAAATGTTTGGTGGAAAAATAAGGCCAACTCATTCGAATTATCATACAGTACAGGTATATGGGTTGAGTAAGTCCATAATATAAACTCCAGCATATCCCCGACGTTAATATTATTCTGAATTCCTGGTATATAAATAGGATGTCAGAGTTCACACGGAACCAGTGAATGGCCTTCTACTAGATCGATGCTGCTGCTTGTCACATCATTTTATTTGAACTTCACAAATGTTTCAACAAAAGCGGTGTAAGTCTTTCACGGTAACCAATGTCCTGTCCTCTTTGGTGTGTGACAGTTGTTATTGTGAAACATAAACCAAAGATATTTTAAGTTGCATTGCTATTCATTGTTAAACTAGAAATTCACTTATCCGAAGAGGGTGGTAAACTGTGAACCCGTAAATATGCCAGGGAAGCAGCATCTAGGTATTAGCTTATAGATATCTTAGCGTTTGCATTTCAGGCCGGAAATGCACATAGAAAATCTACAATTCTAGAGTTGGCATCAACTGATTCTATTAGCTATCCTCTTCTACACTCGTGTCCTTGGTTCTACTCGACTTTTGTTTTATACCTCATTTTTCGGTTATAAACAGGACATCTAGAGCAGGTTATGAAATGGTAGCATCAACCGTAAGTGATGAAACCTAAATGATTGGCGATAATTTTCCGATTTTTATTCACTTACGGACGAGTAAGGCATCATGCACATTTGGAAAACCGGTGCACAGGCAGGACGCCAAGGCAAATGAGGATCGCTAAATTCTGCCACAGTGTGCGTGGTTTCAGTGTGATTAAAAGTCCCGGGTTGGAGCCCAGTATGCTGCCTTTCAGTCGGCAGCAGTCTAGGGTTGGCATTACGTCATCAGGACCAGGACAGCCAGCACATAATACTCTAGCAAGCAAGCCTAACTGATGTGTGGAATTTTCGGGTTGCTATCTTATGAGAGAACTGAAGAGAATGCATTTGAATCAGTCTGGTCTCCGATTACAGAAGTGTCCTGACGACAGAGAATGCAGCGCTGATCTCCAAACGTTTCGGACACAGGTACGCTTACTTTCGAAAATTGTTCCGTAAGATGTGTGGTATCTTGAATCGAAATGGCGCTGAAACCGATGATTTACGTCAGTGGCAGAAGATTTGGACAAAATTCGACTGCAATTTCTGCAGTATCCCACATTAGTCACACTTTTGCTGCATTAGTTCCACGGTTACATTTTGCTCACGCGTTAAACCGGTCTTCAACCAAACACCCATGAGAGGCTTGTTTGTTTCATGTAGAGCCATCCGGCTGGAAGGAGTAACTTTACGACTGCCTGCGTAAAAATCCGGAGTAGTCATTCACACCATGAGTGATTTTCAGAAACGTGCCACACACCCTCAAACTTCTGAGGATGTGCGATTGCTCTTCTTCGTAAAACAGTCTCAATCAATACAAGATTATGTGCTGTTGACATCAAACTGGATGAATGCAGGGGAAAACCTGAAATAATAAAATCTGCAGGAAACTCACCGTCCAGTCAGGCATACTGGAGGAGCTGGCCATGAAGGAGGAATTTTGGGAGTCGACGTCTGAGATTGATCGCGAGCTTGATAGAGCAAAAATAAAAGAGAAATTGACTAGTTTGATCGAGTTTCTGGAACAGTCTTGAAGAGCAGTGCAGACGTATCAGGACAATCCTGGTATAAAAGATGTATTTTCTAACGCTTTTCATCATGAAAATAGCATAACGATGAAGAGAAGGCTACTGATGGTTTTCAACCATTTCCCGACTATTTCCTTCACTATGCCTGGCATGTAAAAATCGATGGATTTTCAGCAACCTTATGAGTAGTACATTACACAAATACATGTCTCGCGATATTTCAAATATCGTAGCGACTGAAACATGAGGTGCCTGAGAACATCATAAACGAGAGATTCAGCTGGGTTCCAGGTGAGTCTCTCGAAAGAACCAAATTAGTTTGCGGATGAGTGTATATTCGCTAATGTGCTTTGTATTAATCTTCAGACATTTCCGCAACAACGTACACAGTACTAAATAAGCGCACTCCTACTCAGCATCTACCCGCAATTATTCCAGAGCACTTTCTACTTGAATAAACGCTTCATAACAATGAAGCTTTTTGACTGGGAAAGGGAATCTGTTGATTGGCGACGCTGAAGTTGATGTAAAGAGCATGCGTGGATCCAAAATGAACTGAGCTAATTTAGTCGCACTGGTTGGTCATATTAAGTAGTATGCTTAAGCTCAGATTTTCGTGATAAGGCTGAATAAGCAAGCATATTGAGTAGTATGTGGTGCTGTATGAATGTTCAGAATAGAAATTCTTGACGAATTAATGCGAAAAGCTGTTCGTACTGAAAAGCTTGTCATAAGCATTTGGTATATGGTAGAGACCTTTCTATATGGCACTGATTTGGGTTAAAAAACACATTGTTCGTTCTAGCGCTAGTTTCATAGGACTTATTTATACTATGAGGAATGTTGCCATAAAAGAGGCTGAAGGTGCTAAAACTTTCTGCAGATGAAAAGTACCGGACAATTAGTAAAGAATGAAAAGTAAGTCAGACCGGTGGGTTAACTGGAATAAAACTTCGTAAAGTAAACTGCAAAATCATGGTGCACGTGTTCATACCGTATTCTGCTAGCACAACAGCCTACTTTTGAAGCAGTTCGCCCCTATTTACTTCGGCGTCGTTTAGATGGTTCCGCGCTCTTTCACGATGTTTAATTCCCTTGATTTTTTACGACAGGTGCGCTGGTTTAAATAGTCCATAGGGCTTGAATTCGAACTTCCTCTTGATGATCAGTCTATTAATAATGGGCTGTTTGCCCTACACATTTCGGAGCACTTTGCAGGTTTAAACTGCTGTTCAACCAAATGTGCTAGCCAGTTGCTGAGCCTGCCAGCGAATCTTTCGACTTCTAGGCCAAATCGAATCCACGTTGCTGTGATCATAGGTAAAACAGTAAGATGAACCTACAGACATAACAGAGGGGAAGGTGGTTCAAATAAACTACGGATGATGAGGGTGAATAGGGGTGACGCCACCGATGTTGTTCCGCAGACTGATAAAGCACACGGAAATATCCGTTCAGATAATGGTTTTTAACAATTTTTCTGCACGTAGTCTAGTGGGACAGCAGAGTGCTCATTTCGTATTCGGCGAAAATAGTTGAGTCAGTTTTTGTCGCAGAAGGCAACTGGTTATGTGATTCAGGCAGATGGTATGGCTATTGCGAGTGTTAGCTTATTTTCTTGTCAGTGTTGCTGCCCTCTCAAAGGAACTGGTGGTCTCAGTAAAATGTCTAATTTCAATCCTCGTTTTCCGAGTCACCTCACGTGATCAGAAATGGGGACAGAAATGGAGGAATTTCAGACCAGTAAAATGAGAAAATGTTATCAGACCAGGATATGGTCTCTTCGCGCACAAAATAGCGCAGTTTTGAAATGATTAGCCCGTCGCTGTGGATAAAAGAGAACGGAAATGATTGTCGCCTATGAACGACATCGAGGCAGTAGTAATTTTTCCACTCCTGGTTTACAAGCGAAAGTTTTGTACTCATGGACAAACCAGTTTAAAGGCAACCTTCTCCCACTGTATCGCATTTCAAAGAGCAGTGTTTACATCTGCCGCTATGTCGAAACTAGAGCGGGCTGATTCCAATTAACCCTAGTAGGTGATTTTATCAGGTCAATCCATGGATGGTGGTTACGTTGTTGTCACTTTTGACCAGTCAATCCCGGGAAACTTTCCCAGAGCTGGTCGAACACATCTTAGCGATCATGATGTGTGGAGTTACGGAAAATCCAATGTTATCTGAAGAACAAGTAACAAGACCGGAAGCTTAAAGATATTGAATTTCACTTCCAGAATTGTCATTCTGACCAACTCACGGTACTGACATCGTATTTATCTTAAAAGTAAACTGTTTAAACTGAACAGCTCAATGCATAGTCAGACGGTTTGCATTTTTGTTGTTGTGGGGTTTTAGCTCCGTGTGTTTGACGAGATATGGGTCCTGGCTACTTTTAACACGGTTAAGTCAATTATTGTGCGCAGTACCTCTGATCTGCAGATCACTTCAGTACGATGGAAGAGAATCGAAAGCCTTTCAAAAGTAGGCAACTAATTCAGAGAAAAACTTTGGCAGCAGAGGTTATTTTGAAGTACACATATCCTTGACTGAAACTGCAGAGCAGAGTAGGTTGTTGTTTCATAAAAGTTTGTTAAACAGTCGGTGGATATGTTTCTTGCCAGCAGTTCGCTTGTTTCTTTTTCTGGTTCTCCTTGGAATTTATTTACTTCCATAAGGGAAATCACTCTACTGGAAACGTCACATGCCTCGTTAGGCATCCAATGTGGTGGGATACATCATTACAGCGAGAACTTTTTGGTCATATTCGGCTCTGTCGGTAATTTAAACTGAGACGCATATATGGATTAAGTCGTTACGATATGTCCGGTTTACCGCACGGATGAAAGAAAATGATTTTGTGCCTTCTTCATCAGAGAATATGTTTTATGAGACCCCTAATAAGAATATCATGGTGGCCCGGCGTTCAGTCATGTTTTATATCCTGAAGAAGTTTCAGTCTGTGACGCCTCTGAAGCTCCCCAGAAAATTCTCACTCAACATCAAGTCATCATCGGATTATTATGGAATGCGTCATTACTGCTGTCGCATCAACTTGGTCATTATGCCGAACATCTATTGGGAAATGGCGAGCAGCTTTGACGTACAAATGTATGGCAAACAGAAAGAAGCAATGAAGCTTTCGGATCATTAGCACTGTTTTAGTTGGAGTGCTGAAAAGCTGTCTCGTTTTATGGTTTATTTACCCATCCAGTTACAAGCAGCAAGAATCATTCTACCCTTAGTACTCATATTGATATTGATAGTGAACCATTATTCCGGTTTCTTACATTAATACCCAAGCAAAGTGTACCTGGGAGATGTACCACGCGGTTGCTGCTGAAATTTTCTTGCTAGGCCGCAAAAAACACACCTGTTATTAGCTACATGCACGACAGGGAGATAGCCTAGCCGGGGAGCTGCATTAATACCTTTTGAATAAAGCTCTCCAACACTGTGTAACGGGCAACTTGGGAGCATCAGGAGGTCATCAGGATTCACCGCCTTGCTGGTATTATGTACAACTATTTAGATCACCTCTGGTCACATTACAGTGAGACCCTGAAATGAAACAGGTAGCGCATAGTTACCCTAAGGTTACGGTGGGTTAAATCTTACTAGTGAACTCAATAATGGGTGTTAGTCTATTCGATGTGATCGGAATCCGGACTCGTGAGTTTGGGTTTGTATGTTCCTCTCATCCCGCCGGCGTTTATTTAGCTCATAGACGATATCGCCTAACTCTTAAGTGATAACTTAGTTCTCAGGTGGCTTTTCCGTCACCTATTTGGTCATTTGAGAATCTGAGGCGCGTTGTGGCACCGGGTACTTGCATCCGGTTGGCTCGAAGGGAAAGGAGTTTACTGCAAAGAGGTCCCCTCGTCTGAGGATGAGATGTATGTAATTCAGCTGCCAAGCCTAATGAACAGACCGACAACCAAGCGTCGCACACTAGCTGCCTATGATCCTGGTATCGACACAGTCACTTACTCAGAGGGAGATGCTGCCCAGAAGGAATACACTAGTACGGATGACGATTGGTTTCGCCCTTGTGGGGACCTGTCAAGTAGGCGCAGCTTTCAGTTTCCATCGACCTTAGGATCCACCTAAGTTTAAAATGCACGCAATTCGCAGAATACACTCGTCTGGTCTTAGAGGAAGACCCGTCGGAACTCGCTGTTAATCACACATTTATTCTTCAACAAATAAGCTCTCGGTTGAATGAATGTATTTCGCTGGTTGGGCTGCCGGTTTTTTTTTCTGCGCTTTATCTCTATGTTAGTACGCAGCCAATCAGTAACAAAGCAGGCAGCGCATTTATAATCATCTCTCACAAAAGTCCATGTTCCTGAACCGAAAATAGCAGCAGATATTGTAGGTTAGACGACTTCATTAAGGATATAAACAGCAATAAACACCTGCGAACAGAGAACTTTTTGGTGCTTCCCGTTAGCTAATTCATGATAAGACATAAATGTGTCAACATTGAGAACGATTAATCTTCAACTGGTTTACTTCGTACAGAAACCTGGCCGTTTTTAATCACGAAAGACAGTATGCTACGCCTGCACACAGACTGGAATAGTCCTGAGTGAATCAGATTACCGACAGTTAAGTGATAAATGTCAAGGTGCACTGAATTTCTGACATTATTTTGCACAAGAAATGTGATTAGCCATGGTTTTGTTAGTCGTAAGGCCACCTGAGTGCATGAAAAACATCGAATTCTGTGTTGGCGCCATAATCCTGTTAATACCACGAAACAAATTTCTCGCCGCTTTTGGAACATTTTCTCAGAGTTCTTCTTAAAAGCCGAAGTAAAACCAAAGGTAGAATGGAGAAAATTTCAAGCCTTTCAGAGATGGTTCAGTGAAGTATAATAAAGCAAAGATGGAATATCTAGTTGCAGCCTGATGATCTGGAATATCTGATCGATTTAGTTATTGGGTATCCGCGTTATTCCTTGAAATGCTCGAGCCACGAGAAAAAGAAATCTGAAACTCTTTTTAATAGAGTTAACCAACCAGTTCTTAGTCAGCTATCCAAACCACGCTCACTCAACCAACGCTCTCGTTTTTTGGTTAGTCAACGTCAGAAACGAAGAGTAGTAAAGCTGACTCCTGAATTTTATCAAATCTCACTAAAATTGGACACTTTCAGTGATATAAAAATTTAAACTGAATCATTTCGTAAGCAAGGTCAGAATATCTTAACGGTTTGTGGTCAACGTCCACACATGCAAACGTGGCTGTTCACCAACGATATACGTGGTTCTACCAGTGACCTTAATGTACAGTAAACTACCAATTTATTCAAGCTACTCAGAGACACCGTGGGCAGCATTTCGTCGCTTGTGGGTTGTCTTCATCACAGTTGGATTCCTCTAAATATTCCGTCATTTATGTTAAAGGAGACCAACCAATCTTGGTCGCCTGGTGCGCATCCTCCAAAACAGCTATTTGTCGTTATTACGTTCCGTCCCACATTTAGGGACTTGATTCACCCGAATTCTAGCGGCGGAAGTATAAAGACATGTCATGTTGCATGTTACAACAAACATATATTCATATACACAACCCAACCTTTCACATGCCCTCGATGTGCGAAAGAATGTCACTGTTGGGCATGACCTACGGTTCGCTCTTCGGATGGAGTGTGCTGAATATTCCCTTTTATGTTTAAGTCTGCCATCATATGGGCGCCTACCACACCAAATATCTTAGTTGGGAGCATCTTCCAACGTGTTTGATCCCCGTGCATCTGGATTTATACTCCTCATGCTCTGTACAGAAAACCCAATAAACATTGCGACGATGAATCATTCGAATAGCAAGCAGCTTCCTATTCCCCAGTTAGTTAAAAAAACTATACACTTTTCTGGGAAAGTGTGTCGAGTGAGACAGAGGCCATTTCAGCTCCACATAGCTCGGACCCACCACAGTTAAACAGAAGTTTCTTCATTTCAAATAAAAGAAAAACCGAAAATGTCGTTTTAGGATGGGTATTGGGTTTTCAAGGTCGGTAATTCTATCACCCAAAGTATCAACGAAATCACAAGCAGCTGCTACGTTAAAATGTGTATCAGCTAGTAGCAAAACTGAAATCAAGTGGGGTGCCTGTCATAGGTTCTATTCTACCCCGAATCAGCTCTCTATGGCAGTAACACTGAGGGATCATCATAACCACATCTGTCCGAGTTTTATCCAATCTATCTACCTCAAATGTAGTATGTCAGTTCACCTGTAGGTGTACAGACAACTACATTAACAGAATGGAACTAGTTCCCTCGATATGACCATCATTAGGCACTTTCGTTATACCCTGGCCAGATATCCACACAGTGCTATCGGCTAAGTGGAATCTAGTCTCATCAATTGCCAGATAGACACTCAAGAGAGTTCATCCCTGAGGCACATACGGTTAAATCTCTAGGATCCTACTAGTACGCAATGTAACTTACCGATCAACCATAAAAGGTTAACCTCATCCGCGGATGACGTGGTATTCATCAGTCCACATCATATCTAGATGTGGTATTGAAACTATCGGTCTTATAAAGCGATATGCTTACTTGTTGTTTGTCGAGATACATCTGACTAACAAACGCTGTCTACATTGTGTCCGCTGCTGACGACAGCAAATGAGAAGCTGAAATTCTGAAACTATTTTCCGCTCACCGTGCCAATTGAACATAAGTGTACAAGAAATAAGCTAAATCAAATAGCTTTGTAAAATCCTGGACTTAAGGAACAGCTACTACAATGTACCGGTTGTCCGTGGGTAGAATAAACAATAGTCTGTTTTGGGGCACAGAGATTACAATCTCTGATTAAGAATTGTGAGATGTTAACTCAGACAGTTGAGCTGAATAGCATTTTCTTCTTGTGATTAGTCTAGGGTAACAATGGACGACGCTGTTGCGTCGTCTCGGGACTAAGGCATTATTTATAAGTACAACCTACTAAAATTACGAGAAAGATGTTTAGAATACAAAGCAACAAATCGGTACCATACAGTTTGAATTATTTACCGTTGTGGGGTTTCATACCTTCTTGGTTATTAGTGCTCTTTCTACTTCACGGGATGAGTAGAAGAAGCAACTTTAATCATGGCTGTCAGCTACATAGTTTTTCACATATAAGACTTTTGCAAATAAAATGGGCAGTGAAATTATCCAGTCCATTTTTCAGAGACGAAACGTGAACAGTCAGATTTCTGATCGCTACATAGTCAGTCCTTCTTTGTGGTATTGTTGCAAAAGGGTCACTGAACTAATACTGATGGGAAAACGATGGTAAAAAGTCGAATTGAACTAACTGACTGCATCTTTCCAGCGAAAACGTTATTCAACACACACAACAAACGGGCAGTAGCATGGTCCTCAGCTTGGACTTGTAACAATCTCTTTCAAGGTTAGATTTAATGTCACTGGTGAGACACAGACAGACTATGTAAAATATATGACCATCGCGAAACTGGTGCCTTTCACGCTTGGGGGCAAGCAAGAGACATGATAACTTTTCAGGAAGGAAGCTGATCCACGCATTGTGAGTGAAGATGTTCTGGTCGGCGCTAAGCATCGAACAAATATTTGAGACTGCACGTTTTCTTGATTGATTGCGAAATCTTGTGCGTGATGGATTTCCATCGAATGACACTCAACTGGTCCGTTTAACTTTGCAACAATACGACCTAGGTTTTGGACTAGGACCTGTATTTGGCTACATCCAAGTAATGTTGGTGCGAAATGAAGGATAAAGTGCGAACGGATGGAATTTCAGGCAGCGACAGCACTCACGAAAAAACAGCATGGGATGTGGGAAACGGAAAGAAGTCCTAAGTGAGATATAATCACAGTACTGATTAGCCACTAGAGTCCAGCTGGTTAGTTTTCAACCACTCACCGGAAGGCCGATAGTTCGAAATAGCTGTACAGTGCTCCTCCGTGTTTCGACATAGGTCGGCTTTATTGGCAGGATAAAATATCTATTAAAAATCGTGAACTTGCTCTATATTTACGGCTAGCTGAATAACTGAAGAGCTGGCGGCTCAAACGAAGAGCAGCAGACGCTCATTGCGTGATAAGAAATCCGCAAAATCCGGCTGCATCATGTCATCACTGTTAGTTCACGTACGTGTGTGATCTGGGTTTCAGTAAGGTTGCATGAACGAAACCGTACTGGGATAACTGCGCATCGTATTAATTCCATGCTGCAATAAGAACTAAACGACCGCATTCTGGACGGAATAGATTTCAAACTTCCATGTTATCAAGAAGCCGTCTATTCGTGGAGTCTGAAGTTAGGTTACGCGGAAAATCCTACACAAAGTCTGAGTAACATCGAGGGGTTAAATTATACCTTGAAATGGTCTACCCCGTCCAGAAATTGCTGGGTAATAACCTTACTCAAGGAAGCAAATGCAACGAAACGCGTGAAATCGATAACACGTTTAATATCAGCTGCTTCGCCGAAGTTTATGGTTTTGTATGACTTGGCTTTAAATGCTCTGAGGACCATGCCGCCAAAACAAGTCGCAGTGTGCAGGACGAAAACATGTTGGCCCCATTGTTTAAACAGTTCAAAAGCCATAATTCAAAAATCCTGGACGAATAGATGTGATAGTGTTTGACATGCAGGCACCTTCTTGGGAGACAAGTTTATGTACCGTAGTAACACTGGACTAGCAAACAAAAAAATAAGCAACGGAGGCTAAGCCCACTTTGAAGCTTACTTAAGGGACGTTAAACTAGGTGGTTTGTTCAAAATGAAAATCAAGTAAATCCAACTGTGGAAGATTTTTTCAAGAATGAGAACACTAGACCGAGACTCTATTTGGACTCTATTTGAGACGAGATGGCTCAGCGGTTTGAGCGTGAGTTTACACTCAGGAAAGCCCATTTTTCAAGCCCGATCTCTGCTTCCCGACTTCTCCTGTCTGGGCTTGGGCAACTTGGTAGTATCCCAGCCCTCGTGCTTTCTTCGGGTGGCATGGAAGTTAGGCACCGAAAAGGTTCCATAGCTGAACTGAACTACAGTTTGGAAAAAGCCATCACGAGAGGGAAAGCATCGAAGATTCAATGGATTAAACAAAACGATCCACCTGAATCTTATTTGATGAGTGCGCCGCTGTGTTTGTTAGAGAGGCCCGATGTGAACTGGAGAAATAAGCATGAGGCAGTGGACCCCCCTGTACATGGATGATAATCCTTGTGGTGGAACGCTTACTCTCTCTCTAGACATCTTTCAGGTAACTCATCGGAAAAAAGTGTGCCGGCGACAAAGAAACATTCTGAAGATGATTGACCAATCGTACGACGCTGTAGACAGTTGTGAATGCTCCACCGGCGAGATGAAAATTATTGTGCTCAGTACACAAGATCCTACTAATGGCATTCTACAGCTCGAACAAGTTCAGAGGCTGGTAAAACTCGAGGCAGTTCGGCACAACAGGCTGTTCTGGATATCATGGTGAACCTATATAAACCAAAGTGCTTCGTTCTACGGTGAAAAGCGCAACCTGACAGTTCTCTAGAGAGTACCAAGCAATCACCACAGACAATATTTTGTGTTTTTGGAACCTATTTCTATGTTAAAGTCATCTCAGAGATAACAACCTCGCGGAAGATAGAGCTTTAGTCTGTTCCCTGGAAAAGGTCACATTCGGACAAAAATGCTACATTGGTTTTGGCACTTACCGTAGTCCCTGAATGGTCGACCGACGATGCCAATTAGGTATTTGGAGGGAGTTCAGACTTTGAACGCTCCCTGTCGTTTGACCTTTAATTGGTGTTGCACTGAAACCATTTTCATCTCTCGCTGCTGCCCCTAAATCAACAGATACGGCGCGGCATTTTGGACAGGAGTCTAGCGCGTTACCTGCAAGAGCGTTATGTGAGAACATTGACGGGACAGTGAGAAAACCGGTCGATTGCTGTTTGTTCGGTTGCGTCTTATTCTTCGCTGTTTCTTGCAAACTGAGCGTCTTTCTTCGGTAAACTGAAGTAGAAGGATGGGCTGTTTGCGAATTGAATCTTCTTTGTTCATTAGGTTTTTCACTTGTTTGTGATGATGTTACACTATGTGATGGGTAATTTTCGATTGTTATAGAGGAGCACAGTGATGAAGGTTTAAGATGACTATCGGCGGAGATCGAGCCAATTTCCTGACTACAAACTGATTCTGAAAGGGTTGAATGTATTGTGTCGTGCATTTTCATTTGGGTTCTCACCCAGTTTTCACATCTATCAATAAAGTTCCGAAAAACCGGGAGGCTTATACGACGTTTCCTCTTCTCAGTTTTTGGAGTGGCAGAACTGGATTCTGTGGGACTTGTTGGAGGACTAACAGCAGAAGGTTCTGAGAAAGATGCCGTAAGCCAACGGGAATACGGGGCAGAATTTGAAGATTCAGAACTTAAACCTATGGACGATTCTTCGGAATGATTGGTGCCACTCCCTGTCAGTGGGAATACATCAGGCCGGCAACATGTCAGGGGATATAGTGGGTCATGGCGAATATCTGAATATGGAATAGGTAAATTCCCAGATGTTCCTGAGCCATTACAAGCATTGAATTCATCTTGCCGGATAACTGAAAACCTCCGGAAAAGCTCGGTTAGCGAGAATCTTGAATTAAACAATCCAGGTTTTCGTAAGTGGACGTCTTCCATTCTGTTATGTTCCCGTATACAGGTTTGCATCACTATTTTGGACGTTGAATCGGATGAAACATTTGGTGAACTTTGCAAGTTGGAATAGTCAGTTATGTACAGAACAGGAGTTGAATGTTTCTCTTTGACTTTCTTGATATCGTGATTCGGAAGGTCAGAATATGATAAGCAAGGTTCGCTTGAGAAATAGGTTTGAACAGAACCAGTGGATTCGTTTGCTCTATTTACAGAAACGATATTCAAGTGTGCATCCTGAAAGGCACAGGAATTAAACCTATTCTCCGTCGGTAAGTATGGCAACGAAGAGCTCCTTGTGGTTTTCTCTCCAAAAAATTCTACAAGCGAACCCAAAGATGGACTTTTAGGTGGAGGAATATTATCCGGTACAACTGACGAAGTGCGAGCCGTTGTGGAAGGAGTCCGAGTGTAACGAATCCAATTTCCGGAAGAGTGCTGTTCTCGTTCTGTTGTCGATTCCGCTGAGAAAGTATGAAAACGAGGAAGGTTGAAAAAGCCTTCCGCGTTAGATTCAGCACTAATGGGGGCATTGTTACCGGTGACTTCCACGTCATTGTTAGCTTCCACTATTACAACTGGTACAACATTCGTGTTTCCGTCAGTTATCATTTTGGTGCAAATCACCCAGAGGAATTGCCGATTCTCCTGTTGGGAAAAATCACGCTGTGGCAACTTCCGTCGATCATTCACCCGGTTCGCCTCTGTTCAGTTCCACCGGTCTGGATTTTTACAAGGGAGGACAACCACAACCGTATTTGGCCGAAATTAATCCGGTTCCACGTCATTGTTAGCTTCCACTATTACAACTGGTACAACATTCGTGTTTCCGTCAGTTATCATTTTGGTGCAAATCACCCAGAGGAATTGCCGATTCTCCTGTTGGGAAAAATCACGCTGTGGCAACTTCCGTCGATCATTCACCCGGTTCGCCTCTGTTCAGTTCCACCGGTCTGGATTTTTACAAGGGAGGACAACCACAACCGTATTTGGCCGAAATTCCGTAATCCGGTTTGTCCACTGACGGAAACAACATGGCAAATTCTCATTGGTCCGCTGGCATACGTTGCTGATAACGTCAGGTCAGTAGTTAAAAAGTTAAATAGATTTTCTATAGAGGAAAATGTTGGCAGCTCAGGTAGCGTAGATGGTCGTTGGCTTGTTCGCGGAACTGGGCTATTTGATTGCGAACGTTTCAATATCAATCGTTATGACATCATCATCTGGAAGCATGGTACTCCACGGCAGATTCGATCAACCGGTTAACTGGATCTGATCCAATTTGCGCACCTATTCGTGCAAAAGACCAACATCTCAACCGGAACACCCAAGGAGGACCGAATACTGGATTCACAAACAAAGAGATATGAAACTCCATGGAATCAAATCAATAAAGCTCACAAACTGGAACTCGGAAGGACGAAGGTCACTCCAGCATCGACCAGCTTGCGACGGCAGGGGATACCAAGCTCAAAGGTCACATGGGCATCGGCGAATGAGGGCAGAGGATGAGAGAGCAACCAATGGAACCGCCCGACCGAACAACTAATCATGATCCATGTCGTCCCCAGCTAGCGGCACGTATATTAGCTCACGCGTGACACTAATCAACGCACAACCACCAACCCACCGCTACGCATCACTACCCTCCCCAATAACGCACTGACGACGTTACCGCGATTGGTGATGAGACGTTTGCAATCCAATATCCCAGCTCAGCGAACAAGCCCACCACCAGTTAAGTAAAAATTCTGGGTGTTGAGCAGTGAGGCCATGAAAATCAACAGGATTCCGAAGACGGTGACGTCTGCGAATCTGACAAATTTTGCCATATCCTCTCTGATTTTGATGCATCAAGGTTAACAGGAGTCGAATGATAAATGTTTTCCGAAATTCAAAATAGTGATTCGTGTGAGCAAACGGTGTACTCTTTCGACCTCCCACTGCACAATATCTTTGAGCTGAGAATTATTTAACGGAGTGGAAACTCTAACGGGTGCCAATTTTTCTCAACAGCTTCAATGTTACGCGAGGGTTTCTAAAAAAATTCCAGACTGTGCCGCTTGGTTTCACGTCATCAGTTCAATGTTCGTCACTCTTCGAGCAGATTACTCCCATCGAAACTGGAACAATTCATAGCCTAACACGATTGCCCACTAGATTGCCTTCTTGTACCACGCTGGTTCAAATCCTCCCACCCCCTTCCTACTAATATCAACAGCTCCGATTGCAAAATGCGCGGTAACCCTAGCAAGATTGAGTGTAGACAAGCAACAGGCGTAGTTAGCGTGACAGCTTGATGGAACAAGATTTAAAGGCAATAACTTGATAATCAAATTTCAAAATGAAATCGGATATCCTTTGTTCATATTTCTGCTGAGATGAGCTAAAAGCTTGCGTTACCAAAACTTAAAACAAATGAAGAATTTGACCGTTAACGAAACAATTCACGATTTTTGATCAGGATTCCGTGATTGACATCACGAATAAAACCATGTTGGTGAAAAATAGGCTGACTGCAGAGGAACAGCGTGACCCGTCCATGAAAAGTTGTGCAAGGAGACTATTACTTACTGTCTCATTAATGATAACTAGCGCAATGAAGTGGAACGGTTTTTTTAAAGTTAGGTAAAACACATCTATGGACAACAAAGTTCCCAAATTTGCACGCAACCAGTCGATTTCAAGGAAGGAAAATAGTGATCTAAAAACCAGTGCAGATGTCGCTTGGTAAAGTGTACCTAATTCGGGTAAATTCAACGTCGTGAAATGTGTACGATGAATAGTTTCTTGTCAGACATAAGATGAATTGTGATTTGTTCGTAGTCTACACCGAATAATTATTAACACGGTAGTATACGGAAGCCTCAAAGAAGTAGTCGGTGAGGAAACTTAAAAGCACACGAAAAGGTAGAATAATGACACCCTGTACTTTTACAAGTGGTGGAACGAATTGAAAATTACGCTAGCTAGCTAGTTAAGAACCCATGGAATCAATCCAGTTTGACAGAGAGGAAAACGGTTTTTGGGTATGGATTTCCAGAACAACTATGATGTGGTAAGAATCATATCGAAGTCGTTATTGAAACAGTGAAAGCTAGTTCGAAAGTGGCAAGTGGTATATCACAACAGCTTGTTTTAATATAGGTTTCTGTAAAATCCTAAAATTATTTTCAAATCATTTCCTGTTGAGCGTTCGGCTTAACTCTCTCCCAGTCAGGACACCGTCCTATGATATCAGTTTTTCTGAGCCACAAACAGATGACAAATGACCAGATAAACAAACAGACTTGAAAGTCTCACTTTTTAAGATTCATTGGCGCAAAACCTGGATGATTCAGTTCGTCAGCAGTTGGTACGTCATGCTTGTCAGTTGTTTTAATGTAGTGGCACCTGATAAAAATCATGCTATCCTCTTCAGAAATCGAAAATGGTAGCATAAGGTTGCAGTGGATAAGTAGTCTCACGGCTGCATCATTTGTCCAAAGCTAGCTGAGATTAATCACGTGTTGCTGAGTGGCGAGGAATCGCCAATATAGATCCAATCACAAAATCCTTTCTCCAGGTGATTAACCCAAATTCAGTCTTGCTGATTACAGGTGTTAGTGGATGAAAATTTCCAAGGGGCTTTTAATTCACACTAAAAGGCCGCATTACTCCGGATGATACTTATCACTATCCTCCAGCCTCTATTTAAAAGAATGGTTAACATCTCGCTCAAACTACAAGAGAAATAGCTTCTTCAAATTCGTACACGGAGTCGCGGAAGCGACATTTTGAAAATACGCGCCGCCACTTCACCTGCTGTATTCGGAGGATTGTAGAAAAAATGTTCCGCTCCTCGTAGAGCGATATATCTGACCTTTCCAGTGCAACTCAAGAGACTTTGTCCCAACCTCAGTCGTATTCTGTTAAACGCTTTATCATTTCTCTATACGGTCTAGGGGAACGCCCAGGGCAAACGCAAGTATATTTTGACCAAGGGATTCGCGCTACTTTAAATCCTGTGAGTAATAACGGAGCAAAGCGCATAAAGGTCCAGTTGGAAAGTGCTTAAGACTGCTACTTTGGTTTAGCCATGATTTGCTACTGCAGCGACCTGGCTTAACAGTGGAATCTACCTTGCTGTATGTCAATCACTTTTGTTTCACCTATATTTTTTCAGAGACAAGTTTAAAGGCTATCCCTCAGAACCTCAAATAAATAGTGTCCAACTTATCAACATTTCTAGTGGCCTCATCAGTCCGGGTTGCTGTTCTTTTCAAACCCGACGCCTATTCGTGAAGGTGAAGGTATTTCTGATTGATTATGACAGGCTGGAATTTGGTTCAGTTACACCTCTTGTATACACACACAGTAATTGTACGTAGTTTGGAAGTTAACAAGACGAACGGGCCAAGGCTATCACAGGTGGCCGGTAATAACGATCAGTATCGAAAATAATCACTGTAAATGTCACTGATAGTAATAACAATGGATGAATTCCCTTTTCATTCAATTTTTTGTGACTGTGGGTTTCTATACCATTTGGTGCCAGAAGAACTCTGGGGATTCATGGCTTGGCTGACGTGCACTGCTGGAACCTCAGTCGTTCTAACGATTTTTGACTCTGCTTGGTTTACTGGTTGAGACACTACATATTGGAAGAATGAGATGATATGGTTGTGGCCTGTAGCTAGCTCATATGCCCGAACGGGATAATTTATGATGGATGTAGACAAGAAATTTCAATTGGAGCTACTCTTATCCTCAACAACTCAGGTGATTCAGTTGAGTCTCTCGTGAAAACCAAAATGATTCGCAAATGAGTGTATTTCTCTAAAACAGTGCAATTTGGGTTCAGGTAAAATCATAAAGTTGACGGAAACTCGGGGACTGCGCCTACCTGCTGAGCCCCAAGAAGGGCGAAACCGGTCGTGGGCTGTCGAAGAGTTTTCAGCAACCTTGTGAGTAGTTCCCTTTATGAAAACTCAGGTTGATATTGTTCTTTTCACTGCTTCGACTTCTGTATGCGAGCGGAAATCTAACCGGCAACTTGTAGATATCATCTGGTGTACAGTCACTGCGAAACAGCATTTCAGGTCAGACTGTCTCACAAAAAAACAACTCTAAAATAAAACCAGAAGATGAATCAAGTTTTCCCATGCTTTTTTAAAAAAACATTCATCAAACTTCCCCACTACAGTGAAATTTTTGATGGCCTCTGAGTTATAGCTATCGCAGATACGACGGAACCGATGTGAGTGAGCAACTCAATGATGGCGGGGACTGCGTTTCAAATAGTTGACATTACTGGTATTCTGACTGATAAACATGTCCGAGCAAATCTGTGTAGGCTGATGTATCGTCTGAAATCAGAGTAGACACGGGTGCTGAAAGAATGCAAAAGGAAGCTGGAGCAGAAATGAAGTGGGCTTTTTCAGGTTTATCAGCATCTCGTTTAAAAACAAGACTGTTTGACTTGTCATCGAGTTCGACATAAGGTGCAGTTTCGTTCTTTCCCATAGTGAACAACATTAAGACTCACTGAGCTTGTTGAGCAAGTGGCTAAGGGGTATATTATCCAGAAACCTTATAACCGCCGTCGTGGAATAGCAGCGAAATCGTTTAGTCCCTACGCATGTATCACGCCAAGTTCCAGAATTCATCTCAAGGTCATGGGTACCGAACAGCTAAGTGAAAACAACCCACCCCTTTAAAAGTGATTCACTTCAGTTTGAATACAGTGTAACTGCCTTGATTTGCCTTGATTTTACACCATTAGAATCGTCTGTTTTAAGGATGTAGCTTTCTGTTGACTGAGAAACCCAACTGACCACGCTAACTGTTCGCGTCTTGTCACTTGGGAGAAACATAGAAAGGGTGATCCTAATATATAGAGAGATACTAGAGACGCATTGACTGACGTTCATATTATTTGGCGTTGGAAGTCAATTGGATGATAGTGACAAATGCGTGTAAAAGTTGCAGCTTGGAAAATGCATGCTGAAATCACAGGTACGACCGAACCTTATCAGGCAAGCACAGAACATCTACAAAGAGATCATAATATTTCCCAGATAGCAAAACTGGTAGATGATCTATCAGCGGCTATCGCAAATGAGGTAAGAGTGCAGACGACACTGCACCTGAACTTTGTAGACCCACCACGGGTTCCAGTTTATACCAGATGAAACTACGGTTATATCTGCATACAGACTTGTCATAATAGCCCCATTGTGTTGTCCGTCTCATCCGGCATCAGCGCTCAACTGGAGCAGTTATGTCAAGTTATGAAGAATTGGAGTTCCTCAATGGAATAATCTGTGCTGGAAGGTAAAGCCGACTAAAACTCTAAGTGAATTTTTTTTGTAGTTTGTTTGATGCAGTAATTAACACTTGGCTCCCCGCAAAGCTTGTTCTGTAAAAAGGTGGACAACACATCGTAGATGAAAAGCTCGTAAAAAGTCGATCAGGTGTTCTACGAGATGATACTTATTTCCAAGCCATTTTAACTGACGCTTCGATATACCTGCTCTTTGGTGACACCCGTTTGTGGGAAAGCCATATGGTTCGGCGAAAATGTATGTCTGCTAAGGACGTACAGTAGTGTTTAGAAAACGGCCTTTGCACCCACATGAGTTGGTATGGTTTGTCAGGCAAATACACATAAATAATACAAGCGTTTGAATGAGGGGTAAATTCCATTGCAAACAGCCAGTGGCGCCTGCCAATAAACTCGTTCTGCAAACAGGAGATTCGTTACGGGTCCAGTGCTAGAGACATCTACTGATAATTTTTCAACAAAGAAATGCAACATATGTACGTGCTAAATTGTCGCACAGACATATTCGTGGCATGGGAGTATTTTATGCAATTAGATATACCATACAACCCGAGAAAGCATGAGCTAGGAGCAACATATGGACTATAACGTAATTACTACAACAGTAATGCTTACTAGCATAGACCTCTAAAAGACCTTTTTCTCGAGTTCTGTTGTTTCGACCATTCTGTGAATCAGCGAACAAGACTCCATGCCCACCACTGCTACACACTATTTCAATTTAGATTTCAATTCAGATGATATGAGATGACCGAAACGAATCTGACTAGTACTGGAAATTTCAGGATAGGAATAACTGGCATATGCACAAAGCCAAAAATTTACTAGAAAATACGGTCAATAGGTTCTCGAGTGTCATGGAGATTGTGATTTGAAATCTTGGAGCGTTTAGCAGAAGCTATCAGAAGCTATCCAATTAGACAATCCGACAAATTATTCGACAAGATGTTGCTTCATATCATTTTACGAGCGGGTAATTTGACTTTACACGCCTTTCAATGGTTGGACGCGGTACACTTTCCCACTAGATCCATAAGCTGAAAACATTCCTCATTTGTACTCATTAATGAACAAATGTTTCATCAGTTTTCTGTAACACATCCTAACCTGTTCCGTCGGAAATCAGTGTCGTAAATTATGAACAACACATGTCCACAGGCAAGCAAAGTCCCGCTACTGTATGTTCTGTTTAGGCTATTGATTTTCATGCGCACTTGTTTTCTATTGGCACCAAAGTTTTTGATATTATTTGTCACATTTATTTGGGAAACTCCGTCAGTTGGAAGAAATTACTTTTTGATTCAGTTCACATGTCCCGTTCGGATACGATGTGGTATGCTATCCAGTCACTCAACTGGCGCAAACTGTCACAACTAAATGTTTATCTGTCTGAAGAGGTAACATGATGTATAGTAAGTAAATCACATGTGAGCAACCTGATCGTCCAGAGAGCGGACACTGCCAAAATACACTACGTGATGAACCGACAGGTGTGGTGGCTCATTCACGCACATAGGACAACATGGCTGCTGGTGATCGATGGGCGAAAGTATCAGGCTTTTCACGGTCCGTTGGTTTCATTTATACTCCCGATGAATGGTGCAGTGTAAAGCATTTCAGTAGCCTAAACTGCTGGTAAGAGTTTTCTGAACTTCAGTTAAAACGCAACGATTAGTCCGTTCTGATAGAACAGGGAAAGGAGCAAATCTTCCCCTCTGAGGGTGCAATACGACTACCTGTTCTTCACAAACCATACACGGATTCTGAATGCATGGTTGGTATTGAACAGACTGCTATTAAGTTAGGTTATTCCACACGTACGTAAACACCTCAAGAACCTGAAAGTTCTACGACAGAAAAGAGAGTATTAGGATTTCACATTAACGTGGATAGATAACCGGAAAACTTTAGTCAGGATGTCGTTACACAGATCCTTCAGAATGAGAGATGATGTCCTAGATGAGGCGGATACCCCTCTCTAACCAATAATGTGGGTCATACTTGACCTAACCATGCCGATTTTAGAACAATCCAGGTTGCAGTTCGAAATATGCAGCAGCTATACGTGTTGTCCTGATTTATGCACTGGACGTAGTTGGATGTGGTGACCTTATTCCATATTTTTCCCTTGGTCAATTTTACTGCCGTTGACATGAATACCACCGCCGGATAGGACAAAGGTGGACTGGAGCACAAATGAGAAACAACTGACGTAGATGTCCGGGAGAACACTTAACGCAAGCAAAGTTTCTAATTGACTGATTATATATTGTCGATCTTCTCTAATTTCAATCAAAACACAGTGATAGCATGAACAGCCTGATCAACTGGTTGGCTGACTGACGTGATTGACTGACTGGCTGATCGATCGATCGATCAACCGATAGATCCGTCACAAGTATTCAGGGAACTATAGGACGACCCATCATCCAGTTGACTAGAAGAAAGATAGCCATTGATATCACCATAAAAATAGGATACCAGTAGCGGCCTCCTTGGAGACGGAAAGCGTTTCAGACGAGGAGAAAACAGTGCGAAACTACCGTTAAAGGTGGTTACTTCTTTATAGACTGCTGATTTGAAGAAATATGTGACCTTTACATCCAGTGTGTCAGCACGGCTTACCATTAGCATATAATTAGTATATGCTAATATGCACTGCAAGCTCGCGCGAAATTTATTTTCATCGGCTGCCGACTCCGTACGGCCTTAGCACTGAGCAGGCACGTATAAGTAGGTGACCAGCAGACAACGTCTACTGCAAAGCCATGTGATCGAACAAGTCAATCGATCGTCGATTTTCCGAAGTCACACCACCAGTCTGGGTGGTATATAGTTCACATGAATCATTTTGCGTTCGGTTATGCGTGCACTGAAACACATGTAAAAACAATGTGTTTCCAATGAGGAAATCGACCAGAAGCTGTGTCGCTTCGAATTCTATCCTGTGACGTGCATGCGGCTCGAAATCTTTTGATGTTCACAACCTACAATATTTGTGACAAATTCCTCGTAAATGTATTTCTGTCAAAATTTATGTAGCTGCATCTCCTAAGCCGGTCTCGGAAAGCTACAGTTTTCGCCAAATCTCCTGTACTGGTGACAACACACCTCGCATTTATCTATGAAGCCAAACGTGGAGGCAAAGAAACGACCTGTAGTACAGATTTTAGAAGTGTCGTGCACATAACTTTTAAAAATTTAGGCGAAATGTTGGATTTCATAGAAAAGTCTGGAGTATTATTATCTGCTGGAGGCGTCGCTTGTCATCCGACCATACTATGTGTTTAAGTTTCCAAACTCATTTTTCGGGTTATTTTGCTTAGGCCCATTCTGACAACAGACAATGTATGAAGGCAAACGTGATCCAGTACAACCTAGATGTTACCTGAAAATTTGCTATGGCTGACTACCAATGTCATCGGACGAGGAGACTGCATGATGAGCAGGGCTTGGCAAAACGTAATCTCCATCAACAATTGTTACCCGAATGATTGACATCCACGCTGTGCGTCCATGAAAAAGAAAATTTTTCGCCTCCCAAGATGACTCGCATAGAGCGGTCATATGCCACCATCTGTTTAGACATTGACTGTGGTTCGAAACCAGACCAGCCGCGGTGGTGTGGAAAATCATTTGCCACGACGGGATCAATGGCAAACCCACCCTAAATGTTGGCCATACATGATCTTCCGAAGGGACGCTGTTGGCAAGCTGATTACATTTTGTTCCCAATCTCCTTTGGAGGGATAGGAATGAGTTTATTGATCACGGTATAATGTTCCTAGCCACTATAGTCGAAATAACAAAATAACAAAGCAAAGTTGCTGCTCAGTTAGGAAGTATATCTGTTCCCTCTGATTGGCCACCACTCCGTTAGCGTTCCTCGTGTAAACCGAACACAGGATTAGTCGAACAGGCAGTTTTAATATAAGAAACGTCCTGGGATAGTGAGTCCTTGCTTTACATTGACGCGCTATATTCGATTACTCTTTGAGGTTCTTAAATATTTTTTGGTGTCAAACAGCTCTGTTTGATATAGGAGACGATAAATAGAAGTTTAGAGGCATGTTTTTCCAACCTGAGGCCTTTTGTGTCTAACACTGTACATTTTCTAGTCTTAATACTGACTGTTGTGTTGTAGAGCGATTAAGATGCCAGAAACCCTATGAAAATAGCTGTGTTCAAGATGCTGTTGGGGGGAGGGAATGTAAATTGAACATACAGGCATCAAAATGCAAAGGTTAACAAACGAAATGTTCTAGGATTTTATCTTCGCTCCAACGAGAACTATAGGTCTCGAACCTCGAATTCACTCACTTAATTCAAATACAGCTGATGATTTTAAGGCCAATGACGACTCAGACTGTCTTCGTTTTAGGTGGAGGTTAGTGCCGTAGAAAAGACGAGTGATTTTCTGATGTAGCTTACTCCATCCAGCGGCTGAGTTAGTCAAGCTGATCTGGCTATTGGCTTAAATTCACGCTGTCTTCTTCAGAGGAGGACAGGATAAAAGTAAGCCTTGCGTCTAGAACTTACCCGTAAGTTGATTATATAGGTTTGGTTAGGTCTCAAAGACGCAGGGTATTAGATACGATGACTCTTTTCCTCGCCGTTATTTTTATTCGTTTTTGTCACCAAAACACGATGGCAATTAGAACCCCAAATAATTTAAAACAGGCTACGAGACAAGTCAATATCTGCTGAGCGTTTAGTGACCATAGTTCTAGACATCGGGCGACCAGTGTATTCGGCGTTTTTATTGGTTCTTAGATGATACACTTTGTCACCTAGCCACAAAGGAACAATGTATCAATGCCACCGCAGACTAGTCACGTTCATTGTTTCAGTCTCACTCCGAAAAAGCTGAGCTATCGGCATCCGGTTTCTTGACTACCAAATACAGGTAGACAGATATCTGGTTCATTGGAAAATCTAGCTGTCAGACACCGTACAAAACAATCGAAACAGTAGTCATATGTGGTGTTCAGTACTTGGTCGCCAGCTAAAATATGGCACCGGAAGGGCAAAAACGTTTATTTTTCGTCAGAATTACCGGTAGCAGCCTAGCAAGGGACGATGCGGTATTCTTCACTGTAAACCCAGAAGCCAAATAGTTTGTTTGAAAATGAATAACTCTCACAGGTGTTCGTCCCAAACGGATGAATTACCCCAAAATATGGTAAGCTCGGTGTTGATTTCAGGAGGCACTTACTAATTATGAAGGCCTACTCAACCGTGCGCAATTATGTGTCCCAGCAGCCAGTGATAAAGAAATCACTAACAATTTATCGCAGAGTAATTTAGTTCGAGACCATTAATTATGAATGGTTTTCCGTTAACCTGAATAATCAGGACCAGTAGTTAGTTGGTCCGATTGACGGGTACTCTTAATGGTAATGAGGTGCAGTCTATCATTTTTCAGAAAAATTTCTTCAATTTTTTGTTTCACACTTGTTTCACTTGTTCTCACTGTCACTCGGACCTTTCATCTTCTTTCGGCAACTGGTCAAATGGATGCCAAAGTAATGCGCATTGTGAGTTAGATGAAGTTATGAAAAGAAGGTAAGAATATTCGGAAACTAGTCGAGCCGATATTAACTAAATGGTACACGTCGTTCGCGTACCACTGTTCCAGCAAACTGGGTGCTTACACTCGATGGTTGATCACCTCACCTCAACACACCATCTTTCACACGAGACTTTGCGGTCACACGAGTACAGTAATCTTCTCCACTACTTGGAGGTTTCAAACTAGATGAAAACCCCATGCTGTTGTGGACTGTGTAGCACCGCAGGCTTCTGTCGGAAGAACCCTAGTACATGGCTAATCCTCCGGAGGGAACTATTCTTTCTTGTTTGCCCAGATATACAAACCTACAGGTCTTTACAGCGTTTTAGATCACAGTAAACGCTGATGCGCAAAGCTGAACAAATATGGAGTTTGTAAACTTCCGTAGGTTCTGAATGTGGAATGCATGAGAAAGTGATCCAACTGGAACTAGTCCATTTGTAATGAACAGAAAGGTTTTCATAATTCACAACAAGTCACCAGGATAAATGCATGTTTATCTTTAAACCTATGACACAAGTGTTAGATTACTCGTCATGACTTATGATAGCGTTTCTGGGTCCAAGTTGGTCACAGTCCCGCTTTCGAAACATGAATAGGAAAGAGCCTCCTGAAGAAGATTTCATCAAAATGCAATATAACTGCCTCTTTGTTTACTGCTATCAAGTACTCGAAAGTAATAGTGAGTTCACCACCAGCTTTAACCACTAAGTATCCACAGCCTACTTTTAATTTCTAGTTGGCAATAAAAATTGCGCCTTGTCAGCTGTGTAAGTGGCGTGTGAAATGCGAATCTTTATTTTAAAAAATACGCAAAACCTAGATGAAACAACCAAGCAACCAAAGACATCCCTCTGTTTATTACTTACGCGCTAGTGCTGCCGTCGTCACTTGTCTTCCTTTCCGGTGACTGCGGACAACAGAGTTTGCTAGAAGAACCACATCGAAGACTGTTCTGATTAGCGTCGTCTCTCATAAACATTTTTTTGTTTATATACAGGCCAGGTTTTGTGAGTGGTGCTCGGGATTTTGAAATGCAATACCACCAGGAGATAATAGGCTTTTCACGGACAAGTGGCAATGTGAGATTCTCAATCCCGGATTGGTAACTTGAAGCAATTCAACAGGATTTCCGAGAAGCAGATAAAACATACGTCGAATGCTTGTATATTTGCTTGGGTAATAGAATGCCGCCGGCAAATCGAAATCAGGCTGACGTTTTCGAGACCAGCTGAAAATGGAGAAAGAAGACGGTCATTAAAAATGAAGGTTTGTATCTACGTAATCATCGTTTTCCAGATGTTGCCAGAGAGATTGATAACCAATGGGATTGTTGTACGATGCTTTTGTCCAAAGATAGTGATACTCGAACTAAGGGATAGTAATTCTGACACTTCTAACGATCAGTATACTTACGTGGAACATCATGCAACGTTGAAGTCAGTCACGAGAAGACCTGAGTGGCAAATGGTCCTCGTCAACAAAACAGCTTCGTGGCAGTTGAGTTCGCATGTTTTATCTGGTGTGCTGACCTCTATGTTCAAGGTTACCGGCTTAAGATGACCGGGACTGTGTACATGAGTCTAGGTGTTTGTGTGTGAGGGCGAAATTGTTCTGGAATGAGTAATTACGTAATAACTGTGCCAACTACTACGTGATGTAAGCCCTACTATAGCTGTGGTTAACACAGGCTGGGTACGCATAGACCTCAAGTGCCTCAGCAAAAATCCTGAAACTAAACCTGCGGATGCGCACTGGTTCAACCTGCGGCCCTTCGCAATGATGTGTCACAAAACGGCCAAGACTTTTTATTTCAGTTGTTTCGAGTATCGATAATGGTGTGACGCTTGTGTTCCATGGTCACACTTGATGCGGTTGTTTGCCCGAAATATCAGTCGGTGAGTTGTGTGGATATGATGTGATTAACATAGTCAAGCACTTGGGGATTTTCAGGTTATGGGAATTTACCGCGTTGAAGGCGTTTCATTCTTAATATGAAACATGTCAAAATTAACCAGTTGTAAGGAACTGATTCAGGTTTGGTATTTTGGCATCTTCTTTTGACGGAAACCCAGAATCACGCCTACATAATGTGCCTCATCATCATCGTCACCATCATCATGATCACAGTCATCAGTGACAACAACATCACTGATGACACTGATGCTTCAGCGCGGTACCGGATCTGAATTTCTCGGGATTCTTTCACAGACTTTCTCAAAAACGAATCACGCAGAAGCGACTAGTAAAGGGCATCAAGTCACGCAGAATCGCTTCTGTTGACAAGTTCGAAACAATACTCAAACTAGTATACTAAATGCACCGGCCTTCAGAGTTGCGTAGCCGAATCCTGGAAAAGCCCAATAGGCATTCAGTTCAACTGCAGCACTTGCGTTCTGTATCCTTGTTTTCGACAGACAACACAGTCACCGCAGCTTACGAGCAACAGGCGCTTATTGTTCTGCTTGATTCACTACGTGGACATAAAAACCAGTTAATCAAACCGGCTTTAAAACAAACCGGCTTTAAAAACAAACTTGGTTATTAAAGTCGGATGCACAAAATCCGAAGCTGATCGTCGTGCATGAGGAACAAAACGGACGATCCTAGTGCTAGGACTTGCGGACAGAGTATTCAAGTTTCGGTGGTATAGTGAAAGTTCTCGCTCACCTACCTGGTTGTATGCAACTAGTAGGGTGACCCGGTTTGTGACGCCACTCGACGGGTGATGTGGGATGAGGGTATTGTCAGTTGTACGTAGGCTGGGATACTGCCAGGACACTCACACCCACACAGTCTTCGGCTCAGAAGTCTGATCGCTAGGCAAATGCATTTGGTGCAAAATGTCAGTGCATTATCATTTTCATAGGACACTTTGCCACCCGTGTTACAAGCTCTCACGTAAAGGGTCGGGAGACTGTGATAATCAGACATCTAACACTTAAGCAGCCTGGTATCAGACTCTGAGTACTGTACAGACAACACCCAGTATAGCTCAGTGAGCCTCGAAGCACACAAACTGTCATATCACGGTAAAATCTAGTCTCTTCGCGACGAGCTCCAAGAGGTGCGAAGCCAGCAATGAGTTATCGAAGGTTTGCAGAAAGCTTATGAATAGTACGTTGTGCCAAGATAAAAGGTTGTTTACTTCATCTCTTCCAACTTACATGGTGTCGATTGAGAAAACAGAGAGAATATTGTCCTTGGAAAACACAAGGTTGAAAGGTCGGGTTGCCAACAGCTGAGTTTTTGGGATACTTTGAAGTAGCATGTCATTTCGCGCTCCAGGGTCACATCGGGCGATCAAACAAGTCACTCAAGTGGTCAAAACGTCGGCGATTTCCACTCTATTCAGAAGGATAATCGGAAATTGCTAGGAACGTTGTTGTGTCTTGACCGCACAACTTTGGTAAAAACTAATATCTATGACATCCAAAAGGCTGGAGATTTTCGTAAGGCAAATAGAATTTCTCTCAAGCACTGACGAGCTCTTTAGTTTCCAGTGCAAATAATAGGCGTGATTCAGGTCTATTTTTACTACCACAATTAAAGACCAAGATCACGTTAAATCACCCAAGAGTAGGAGTACCAGTTCTTTTTGCGGTCATCAAATTGTCAAGTTGTTATCACTCACTGCGCAAACCTACTTGTGTAACTCCTGTGTGAATATGGTACCATGAAAAATTGTGAGCGAGATAACCTAGTTCACATACGTTAGGTGTACTGATAGTGCTCACATGATGAAGATTAGAATGCAGCGCAGATGTTGGGTGGAAACTGGTTCAAAACATACGAAGAATAACGCTTTATCAGTTCACTGTTCCAATATCTGCTCAACTGGTTTATTAGACAGGTTTTGCACAGTTAACGATAAACTGATTTTCGCTTACACTACCTGGAAGCAGCTGTGAACAGACTTGCGAATCTTCATTGAGGTAACCATCAGAGGTACTGTACATTTTTCAGAAAATACCCTCATTTGCACACAAAGTGGGTTTTGACGGAAGACTCAAGTGAATCCAGCTGAATCTCCCGTTTCTTGGTTGTCCACTTCACCGAGCAGGACAGTACACTTTACAGTAATCGTCCATATTCTTTGCTGGAATGTTGCATGCACCACGGAAATAAAAAGCGATGTACTTCACGTCTCTTAACCAAAAAAACAAGGTCCAATATGGCAAATGGAAGCTGGAAGACGAACATTCTCCGCCATTCTGCTTTAATGCAGGCTTTTGACTGTTTCAAAAAAATTTCGGTGACTCTGAAACTTTGGTCTACTTAGGTTATGAAATTACTGTATTTTGGCATGCATTAACTTCTCCGGGGTGGTTCTTAGGAGCAGCGCTGCCTGTTGATTAAAAACGTCCATGTTAGCAGTGCACGTTCCATGCGAAATTATTTTTACGTATTTATGAAAAATATGATACTCCCTTCAGCGACGAAAGGCCCCTTGGGGCTCTGAAATGCCTCGTTGACTTGACTGATTCTTCGTTGCAGGCACATCAAAAGCAGTAATTCTACGTAATAAAAATAAATTTACTTTTCGGGAAAAGGTAGGTACTGAATTGTTTTGTTCTCCTTCAAAATGCTGTCAACGAATCTGTGAACCGTTTAGACGAATGATGAGATGAATTTACTGAGGCGCTGAGCTAGTGCGCCATCCCTGTTAATGCTACAAATCTTTCCAATTGATGGTTTACTAATAAATCTGGTTCCGGCATCTGTGTCGGGCATACTGATCACATCGCTCAAGTGCGAACACATGCGCCAGTTCAGATGGGAGAATTCGGATGCGTCCAACGCGTTCGCCTTGCATGTCAGATGTCCGGAGTTCAAACCCCGGCACGGCCATTGGATATGCACTGCTGATGAGCTCTAACAAAAGCGAAACTCGAGTCCGGTACTTCCCCCACTTTAATGTGGGTTCACATGAATAATTGCGCCAGGACAGGAGGATGACTGCTCAAAATCGGGTCCACTGGTTGATTGGAGTTCCGCTGCGGTGTCCCCTTTTAGAACGGCGTCTACCATTCGCGTGAATCATGTTTGATTAGAATTTCTATTCTTGTTTCAACTACAGCTATTCTGGCTAGGCACCTGGAGATGGTTTTTCCACCAAGGACCAGTTGTTCACGAGTTTCACTGTTGCGTTTCATGTTGCGTTCGGGTGTAAAATGACCACAACATGCATGATGTGCATGATACCTCGGTGTCCGAATCGATTTTTGGCGCAACTTTTGTTCGTTGCCCAGGTCTCACAGAACACGAACACAAATGTACTGGTTTCGATAAACATGTTATTACTCGTCGATGCACGCACCACTGACCATTATAAAGGTAATGACTGCTCGTACTAGTTCGTTAGAACGAATTCAACTGGCTAACAAACTTTTGCCCACTGTATTTTGTGCTGGTAACACACAATAAAAGTTGTGTTTTGTATTCTCAAAGCATTAATCAGAAACGACTAACATAAATAACCGAACCAGGTGTACAGAGTGAAGCATCAGCGTTGGACACTGATGTCAAGCTGCCAATGATGATGGTGACGTTTAGAGTGAAATGTAAGTTGAACCCATATGTATTTAACCATATTCGCATAACATTCGAAGACGGGATATACTATTTGTAAATTTGTATTCGCTTTCTGTTAACATCGAAGTATTGGGTCTAGTCTTAACGACCTTGGAGTTCTATACATATCTTACTCAAGTAACCAAATACGGAAACACGAGAAAGTCCCAACTATTCATAGCCTAATGACCTGTGATACTGTTGTGCGAGGTACATTCCCCATCAGGTCATGTGAAACAAGATGATCAAACAAACAACCTATTATTCAACCAGTCACCCATAGAAATGGAGAATTCAGTTATGTTCGTGAATGAAACACGCACTGTTTGTCAGATATGATTGAAGAATGCTGAACCACCGGAATGTAACTAAAACTTCCATCCATGTTTTGAGGGGTCTCACATGGTATTGCAGCTTGGGACGACCGCTCTCTTAACAACTTCCTTCGGTATAATTTTCCCTCATGGAACTACTTCTTCCTGGGCAACCGTTCTTCATCACATTTTTTATAGCAAATAACATTATTCAGAAATCCAAATCGTACCAGATCA